TGCGGGACCAGCGGCGCCCCCGAACCCCGCCACCGCACGCCAGCTTTCCCGCCGCGCACCCGCCGTCTACGCTGGGCCATTTCCTGCATCTCCTGTGACCGACGCCGGTCGCCCGGCCTTCGAAACACTTGATCCTTCTTCAACCGCCTGGTCCCTCCCTCCCACAAATATTTAGTGAGCGCCTATCACGTGCAAGGCACTGGGCCAGACCTACGTTTGGCTCATGTTATTTCTTGTCATGAACACTGACTAGTCTTGCTTGAGAACTCGTGCTCCCACCTTGCGGCCGGAGTGGTGGCCCTGGAGCGTGCGTCTGGGAGATGATACAGGGATATGGCCCTCCTCTGAAGCATACAACACATGATCTGCGGGACAGACCATTTTCTCAGTTCTCTGAAGGCCGGTGCGTAACCAGCGCTTTCCTGATGCAGAGAGGTACTAGATTATAGCCTCAGGTGGGTGCCTCGCAGCAGCGGGGGCAGCTCTCTTGGGGCGGGTTAAAAAACTGGGCTCTGGACTCACAGAGACCCAGCTTTCCGTCCCTGGCCAACCATGATCCTGAGCTGCTCAAAATGATAATTACTGAACTGCTCAAAATGGTAATTACCTCTTTGGAAAATTGGGATTAAATCACTATTTCACTGGGTCTATGTCAGGGTTAAGTGAGATAATTTATGCAAGCTTAGTACGATGCCAGGCAAATGCTTCATAAACATTAGCTATTATGTGTTGCTCGCTGTACAAAACCCTCAGAAACACTCACAGTCCACATGACTGAGTTTAATTTTCTTCAGAGGGAACAGCTGTATGACCTTTGCCAAATCCTTAATCTAAGACTCACAGGATTATCATTAGGATTACATTACATGACGGCATTTAGCAGTGCCTAGCCGAGGGCTGTTAACTTGGCAACGTGAATTCTTTTCTTCCTCTTCCTCTGAGTCTCTGCAACCCACACCTTGTGTCTCTACTATGGTACCAATCACACTGTGTTGTAACTATCACCTGTCTTTCTTACTCCAGACGAGTTCTTTGGCAGGGTCTAAGACTACTCTTGGTCACAATCATATCCTCAGGGCTGAGCACAGTCTTGGCACGTGGCAGGTCCTTAAATGTCTGTATGTTGAGTGGATGAGGCAGAAACCAGTGCAAAACAAGGCAGAATGTCCCACCTGGTGAGCAGGTGGGACATTGTCTGTGCTGGGTTGCTTCACTATCTGAACCCAACCACCCTAAGCTAGATTTCCCTTTCTGGAGGTGAGAGAGTCAACTGTCTCTCACTGTATACACAGCTGGAGGCAAACACGTACTGACCGATCAAGAGGTGTTGGATGGAAGTGCAAGAACAGAATTTACTGATGACTCGGCCCAGGGGAGAACAATATGTAGCCCATGCAGAAAAACAATGCCGACATTCCTCCTGAGCCAGATGCAGCCAGATGCAGCCAGATGCGCGGTTCTGTCACAATGGAACCAGCAAAGAAAAAAATCTGAAGAAGGCCCTGGCCCAGCCCTGGGAGAAGGGAGTGGGCCGAGTCATGCTGCTGCAGCAGAGAAGGGCAGTCGGGATGGACAGGCCTGGGGGCGGCCAGCTCTGTCCAGGTACCAGCAAGTCTGTCTGGGGCTGGTGACGTCAGGTTACTTTTTAAAGGCTTCTCTTCCAAACAGGAAGACAATACTCCGATTTGTTTGCTAAGTGCCCTTAAGGATACATGTGGTGGTGAAGCAAAGGCCAAGAGAAGAAATAAGGAAAAGAGTGGCCAAACCAAAAGACCACTGTGAGGGGGACCTGGGCTCAAAAAGCTCTCCCTGTCATGTGTATTCGCTCCCCTACCTTAAAAGACTCCAGGGAGAAGCTGAGCTTCTGGTTCCACTGAGACAGCTGCGAAGACGATCATATTTCGTCACATGGTACAACTCTCAAAAGGTTCTCTGGAAGACCTAGAAGTTGTTCTGTGCTAGGAAACCATTCCTCCCAAGATTCTCAGCATGAAAAGCCTTAGAAACAAGGACCCCAGACACGACAACCCTTTAAAGATAACACTGGGGCCTCGGCCCCCTTTATTCGCACAGCCAGAAGTTCCTGCCACAAGCAGCAGTCTTAGACTGTGGATAGCCACTCCCCTCCAGCCTGGGGAGGGGTGGAGAGAGACAGACACACAAACATGTATTTCAGATTCCTTTCTCTGAGGTCTGCAGGTCTGAAGAAACCGTTTCCTCCTTTCCTGCAATCTCTGCAAGACTAACTCTAAAAGTCTCCTCATCTGGCACTCACACACAGAATCTGCTATGAGTTTAAGCACCGGAGGTTAAATAAAACCCATTACACTGACTGTTCTTCTCATCACAGACACAAAGAACAGTGTGACGCTATCAAGGAACTAGCCAGTCCTGGAACAAATGTAATGCTTCTTTCTGACCCACGGTCTAACACGAATCTTTTATCACAGGGAGATTTGGGGCCTTCCAGGAACGGCTCAGCCCTGGCCCTCGTCCAGGGCTACAAGGTTGCTATTCCAGCACGTACCGTCCCGTTTCAGCTCCGGAGAAAGAAAACAAGCTGACCGTGTCAGGAAGGAAATCTAGGGCTCGCAGAGTGTGAGTGCTGATTGGGGACAGTGGCCGGAACAGACCAGGGAAGCTACGAGACACTCAGTACGTGAATCGCATCTTTTGTGAGTAGCCCAACCTATCCAAGTTGGGGTGGCAAGCCAGCTGCACCATGGGGGGAGGCCCGCAGAGCAGCAGCAGCACGTCATCTGCTGGGGCGGGCAGGTGCTCCCGGATCATGTCGGCAGTCACAAAGCCCTTGCTGTAGGCCCAACCTGAAATACCGAGGAGAGGAGAGAGCTGACACCCCGGATGCCTGCAGGCAAGGGGGTGCCGAGCCGTGAGGTGGGGAGGGCCGAGCAAGGCTCTCGAGGAGGCATGAGGCTGTAGCAGCAGCCGTGTGGCCACCCTCGGCCTGCCTCAGCAGCACGGCCATTCCTGCCGCCCCCCGGTAAACAGGAACCGGAGGGAGAGGGCCCGGGGACCACCGCGCCCCTGCACTCAGACTTGGGAGTGTGGTTGGCTCCACGGAAACCAGAATGGCACAGGCGCGAGGCCCTGATTTTTGGTTACCCAATACGGAGAGGGTACCTTCTGGAGGGTGATCCAGAGTGAACCAGAGCTTGAAGCGACCGGGGTGTTGGGCCTGCAGCTCCTCCAGGTCCTCACGCAAGATGATGTCCTTTTCAGTCTGAAACGGAAAGGGGAAGCAAGGTCCTTGGGAACCTCCCCAAGCCCACGGGCGTTCTCTATTGTGGCAACTTTCCAATCAGAAAGAGAATGCTGAAGTTCTCGGGAACAAGCAGGACTTACGGGGCGTGAGGAGGGCCTTTAGTCACACAGTATGAAGAAGCGCAGATGGCAAACCAAACAAAGGAAACCCAAGCAGAGAATTTTCATGCTCGGGGTGAAGTTCCTTAAGTGTTTTTTCTTCTTTCCTCGGGGCCAGAGAAGGAATGGGGCTACATGCCCTGTCCTCCTTACTGGAGGGTCCTCTACTTTGCAGGAGGACCTGGGGCAGCAGCAAGAACAGGCACCGGGCCATTTTTGCCCATTGGTACCGCAGCTCCAAACCCAGCCCACTCAACTTTGATGTCCCAGCGCTGCAAAAAGCAAACCAACCTGGTTGGCGAAAAGCAAACAGCACTGAGTTCGGTCTTCAGGGTCTTTCAGGATGGCCCGGAGCAGCTGAAGCATCGGGGTGATTCCTGCACAAAGAGGTGTGGTGGCCACATCCGCCCGCCCCAGCTCCCTAGCTGACCAACCCTTTCATCCGAATCCACTCGTTCAGTACCACACTGTTTCCCTTTAGGGTCCCTTCTCGTGTAGCCTCCAGCACCTACGCTTGGGTAGATGTGTCCTTTATCCTGAACTCACGGAAATTCACACCTGTTGGGTAGTTTTGCTCAGTGTTCGCCTAAGTTCACATTGCTGAAATCCTTCTAAGTAAGACTCCTCTTCTCCCTTTTTTTTTCTTAAGGTGAGGCAACTGCTGGTTGACCTCACATATTGTAAGGACCTTGTCACCTTACAGTCCCTTTTTTATTTTTTACGCCTACTGCACCTGGCCTTCCCAGGCAGTCTCCCATCCAAGTACTAACCATGCCCGACCCTGCTTAGCTTCCGCGATCAGACGGGATCGGGCTTGTTCAGAGTACTATGGCCACAGACAAAACTCCTCTTCTCAAAGTCCCTTGGTGGCTAGGACTCGAGTCACAGGTGCTACAAGTACCTGCTGATTCAATGTCAGGAGTGCTGGACTTGCAGGGCAAGTGCAACTGCTTCGGGACTGGGCAGAGCTGGGTATCAACCCGTTACCACTGAACTCTGTGGGAAGCACCTTCCCCTGTCCGAACCCACATTTTCTCATCTGGTAAAGGGGAAGACTGGTACCCCCTTTACAGGTATATACTAAAGTGAGGAGAAAAGCGTCTAAGATATAGAAATGTCCGGTGCTAATTCTCTTTCCTCTTGATGATCCTACTCCTAGCTGCTTTTCTATTCTCGCCTAAAAGTTACTAGATCCATTTAACGTGAGGTCTTGGGAGAACCCACACAATTCATTTCTCTTTGTGTCAATTAAAGTTTTTTTTTTGTTTCTGTTTACGAGTTTGCTTCTCAGGTATTGGGGAGACCCAGGCATTGCTGACGATGACTGCCAAACCTTCCGAGGATCACTTGCGAGTTTTCATGGCAACATCGGCAATGGCGGGAGGGTGGCTCCGGCGACACGCACCTGTCCCACCGGCAATCATCCCTAGGCTCTTGGCCACACGGGGCTCCGCTGGAGACTTTTTGTCGGGCTGAATGCTAAAAATCCCTGAGAAGTGAAGCGAAGAGAGGGCAAGAGAAAGAAGTCAGTGAGAGAAAGCCGAGGACGGACGCAGAACTGAGAAGCTGCCCCGCGCCAGTTTAGCAGCTGTGATGAAATCTGACCCAGGGGCATGGGTGGAGGTTTCAGTTGAGCAGTCCTAATAATACACTTCAGGGACAATGGGGACAGGACTACATGTCCCCTATTATTAAGGACCAGTCAGTTTAGGGCTACATGGTGAGTCATCAGCTGCCTCCTGCATAGGCTCACTCCCTGGTAAGGGCGACTGGCATGGGGCCAGGTGTGCATCAACTTTCTCAAGTGGCACAGAGCAGCTCAAGACGCTTGCTAATGCACCCAGCTGTTCCCATGGGAAGGGAGGAAAGCCACCTCTAGCTCTCCAAACAGCTGAGCCTGAGAGGCGAATCTGAGGCAGGGGGAGAAACTGGGGCGGCTTTACTAACCTCTGCAGCTGTCATGGCTGGTGAGTCAAGTGGATGGGTGATTAATGGGCCGAGAAACTCGCCCTCCCATGAAATCAGAGCTACATGTGCAGAAGGGCAGCTTTGGCCCTCACACAGGTGCGCTCGCAGCCCCCGTGCCCCGTGGACCATGGCCTGGGGGTGTGGGAGACAGGCTCAGGGAGCACAGAGGCTGTCACCTTTCCCGAGGTAAGTGAGCAACCCGTTCGGGCCTCGAAACTCCACCACATCCCCAATCTTCAGGCTGTTCAGGTACTGAGACATCTTCCCTCCCTCAGGAAATTTGGGGTGCACGCCCTTCAGATACACCTGATAGGACAGAATGGAAAGCACTTTATTTGGAATGTCACTGATTTCTGAGCCCCCACTGGCTGAGCCTTCCTGCGCTGGGGCAGGGGCCCGCACGTGCCATCTTTCTCCAGCCCACGGACTTGACTTTCTTCAAACCCACAAAGGACATGGGTCTCCTGCTCTCAAAGGAACCCTGGAAGTTTCTGCAAACCCCAGAAAGAGTAGGGTAAGGAGTTCTGGGAACCCTTCCTACCCCCTTACCTTGACGACGAGATCCACGTAGCCTTGGTCCTCATCACTGGTGACGGGAGTGTATGGCCTGATGACCAGGCTGCCATCGATTCGGGCAGAGAGATAGACGTGTCTCCCTGGGGGCCATGTAGAGAACTACGTAAGGGCTGCTTGTTGCCGTGCCGCATTCCTGTTACCTTTCAAAAAACTCGTGGAGGGTGGAGAGAACAGAGGCATCTTGCTTCCCACTGCAGTCCCAGTGAGCTCTACCAGGCAGGGACAATTCACCTTTGAGCCCCCAGTTGGCTCCCTCATAAGCCCCCACTGGCAAAACTCTCATCAGTTCCTGCCAGTACCTTAGCAGCAGTTGAGTTAGGAGCTGGGCAATGGGTAAAAAACTAGTGTTTGTTTAGGGGTAGGTATGAGCAAATCCTGCAGGAAGGAGGGAGGGCTGCTCAGTGTCACAGAGGGTCCAGTGGCACCTCACAGCTTGGAGGATCAAGCCAGGTAGGGAAGGGGAATGGGATGTGGAGGAAACAGATTAAAGCAGCGTCCTTCCAGAGACTCCAGAAGGAGACTCACCCCCTTAGGGTACCAGGGAAAGGAGCCCACGCCACACTCTTCTTACCCACAGGCAGCCCCAGAACGTGGTGGGCGGTGGGCAGGGCAAAGCGGAACCTCGTGGTGTTGTGGCTCAGAGTCTGGAGGACGGATGACACAAGTGCTTCACCAGGACATCCCAACCACGGTGGCTGCTGCGCACTTCACACCGGGAGGAAAACTCTGGCCCCGCCTCTACCCCCTCTTCCTCCGCAACTCACCGTCTTGTCCAGCAGTCGCAGCAGGTACTTCTCATTGGGGTCCAGAAGAGTGACCCGCGGCCGGCGGGACCTCCGAACCAAGTAGGAGCCCAGAGCCAGGCCGAGCAGAGTCAGCAGCCCCACCCCCAGGGAGGCCAGGAGGCCTGGGCTCTGTGGGGAGAGAAGGCAGCGTGACCGCCCCGCGGAGGAAGGCCCCCTGATAAAGGTAATGACCGTCCCGCACGTCCAGCCGCCCGGAGGGTGGCGACCCCAAGCTCCAACACCCGGCCAGGCCCAGGCCGGGGGTTCCTCTGGACAGGGTCACCGGACACTGGCATCTCTGGAGCGGAGTGACCAGAACCAGATGGAATGGAGTCCCTGGGTACAGGGCACGGAGCGAGGGTCTCACCGGCTGGAACCCCATGACCGAGCACCGCGTCTGCCGCCGCCGCCGCGCCCTCCAAGGCCGCGCAAGCGGAACGCTCCCACAGTGCGCCACCGGGC